AGCGTCGCGACGATCACTCGCGTAAATTACAAATCCCAAAAAGAAGAAAGATAAAATAAAACCGCGACCATGGCCTCGCGTAAATTACATCCATGGAACAAAATAAATTGAACAAATAATTTAAATATAACCTGAGGAGAGAAACAGAGAACATTAGTGCAAAGGGTTAGACAGAAATTCATGGCAAATAATAAAATGGTGAAAAAGAAAAATTAAGAATTTGGACGTTTATTTAACATTATTATTATTATATTTTAAAAAAAATTTAATTTAAAAAGAAAATTAATTTGATTTTGAAAATGTTTTGGGTTGATTTTGAAAAAGATCTAGCTTTAATTTTGAAAATGTTTTTTAGTTTTAATTTTAAATTTTTTTTTTAGTTTTTTTAATTTAAAATTTAAAGAAACATTTTAGTTTTTATTTAAGAAATGTTTTAATCTTATTTTAAAAAAACTGTTTTGGTTTAACTTTAAAAAAAAACTGTTTTAAATTTTAAAAGAGTGTTTTTAGTTTAATTAGAGAAACAAATGTTTTTTTTTTTTTGGATTTTTATTGAAAAGAAATTGTTTTTATTGAAAAGTAATTGTTTTTATTAAAAAGAAATTATTTTTATATTACCAAATGCTCTTATTCTAGAAATACAAAAAAAAATATTTGCAAAAACATTACGTTAGTTACTTAATTAACAAAACATTACGTTAGTTATTTAATTAGCAAAACATTACGTTAGTTACTTAATTAACAAAACCTTACGTTAGTATCTATAAAACTCAAACCAATTAATGATAATAAAAATGGAAAAAGAAAAAAAGAAATAAGAGAAAAAAACAAAAGATATAAAAAATAGAAAAGGACAAGAAAATAAAACTGAGGCATAAACGAAAAGAGGTAGGTTTGGCATTTCATTTCAGACTTTGTCTTTCCAAAGACCCAACTTCTTCTTCTTCTTCATTGCGCCGCCATAATCTTCTCTTTTTCCTGTAAAAAAAAAAAAAAGAACAACAGAAACCAAATGTGATATTGATGAAATCTTACGAGTTATGATTTGTTGGTGATTCTGCCGGTGATGAAGCTCTGAAGGTTTTGTCAAAAATCTCCCCTCTTTTGATAAGTCGTGAAAATAATAATTAAATAAAAAAAAACTATTTTGTTATTTTTTTTTTATAAAAATAGAAAAGTTAGAATAAAAATAAAAGAAAAACAAAAAGTGAAGAAGGTGGGATTTGAACTCTCAACCTCTCACACTCACAACTCCTTACACACGGTCTCTTGCCAATTGTGCCATTTTATTCATTCAAAATAAAGTGGCACTAGAAACTATGTAAAGGTAGGACAAATTTGGGGTGCAACAGACGTTGTAGGTGGAAAGTGCAGAAAAACAGGGGAAGTGTGGTCCAAATGCCAAGATGCTCGCAGACGAGTTCAAATTCCCTCACAAACGCTATTGCATTAGAGTCAAATTGCGAAGGTGCCAGGCGGAGCCACCGGAACAGTCCCCCCTAAAAATCACTGAAGGGGAGGTGGATTCCCGCTTCCCGAAACGCAAATTCATACATCGAGAACCTTATCTCCCTGAACCTCGAGCAGATGCGGTGTTTATCCTTGGGTTTATAAACCATCTAGCTCGGGGAAGAACCCTCGAGACGGTCCTCGACAGTGGCAAAAACGTCCCTGTCGTCGGAAGCAATGTTAAGAGGTTCTTGCCTGGCCCAATCCTCGGGTGTACGAACTCGTTCGGCTCCAACGACCTCGACGGGAGTGTCGGGCTCGAACTTGTCGCTGATATGGATGACGCCCTCAATCCTTACAGTCATTTTACCTGAAAAGTAGAGGAAAACAGTGAATTTGACTTCCAAGATCAAATCCACCCTTCCACCACAAATCAAGTGAAAGGGAGAAGGGAGGGACAAGGAGCCCCTCGACAGGCCCTCCCTGATGCAGAGCAGCAGACCCCCTCCTCGACAGAGACTCATCCAGGAAGAAACCCTCCGTCGACATGACACGGCGAGCCTCCTCAACAGTAAGGCTCCCCAATTGAGAAGACCCCGATAAACGCGGGGAGACCCCTCGAGAGAGACCTCCCCATAATATTCGCACGCTTGCGAGGAGTATGGCTTCCCGATGCCTTCATCCCAGATCCCAGAGACCTTCATCGCGGGTCCTCGAGGCCTTCATCGAGAACTCAAGAAGTTCCCAAAATCACCATGAACTTCCTGGCATTTTGATCGGAAACTTCATGGGCATGGCCGAAAAACTCATAGTTTCTCCGGAAACTTCATGTAAATCGCCAGTAAATTCATAATGCTGAAGATAGGAGACGAAAACTTACTTGAAGAAAGAAGATCTGCACAACGGAGAGTGGTTGACGGCGGACGCGGTTTGAAGAACTTGGAGAGAATTTTGATGGAAATGAAGGGGAAGTGTGAAAATGAATGGAGGTTTCCTCCTATTTATAATCCTAGCACGGGAAGTGAGGCAGCACTAGCACTCAAGTGCCCCTACATATAGCCGCCCTAGGCATTAATTACACGTGACACATGGCGCTAGAAGACACCATGCGTGTCCTCTCAGTTTCCCCTCGTGTCTGGAGACCAAACATGCTCGTACCCTTTCCACCTCCACCATATCGTCGGCCAAAGCACCAAACGAGGACACACCCGAGGGGGAAGATGGGCCAGCAGTATGGCCGACAGACAGACCTCCTCGCGACCTCTTGTCTTGTCGAGCGTCTCTTACTTCTGGCCACGTGCATCACCCTTAACTCGATATTTCGGGTAAGCTTACGCTCCTCCAGACGAGTCCTCGACGTTCGAACTGACTCTTAGGTCATTACTCCTCTGTCTTGGAGCAACGACTTAGGGGGCTCCTATTCTGGACTAGGCCAGTACTTGTCCCATAGTCGGGCAGACCCAACGCAATACTACGTTGGGGAGGCCCAGCAAGGCCCATCCTCTATAACATCGGGCACGCTCAGTACTCTTTGCAATCGGGCACACCACTACCTAGCACGGGGAGAGCTCACGCGCCTTCCCCACATTATCCATATGTTCCCCACGCGGGGACACGTCATCAGGCAACTACCCGTGTTCTAAAGAACCGGTCTTCCACCTTCCGAGGATCACGGGGCAGTTGGACCATGGTGAAGACCACATGTTGGTCTTCCCTACGCCACGTAGACCCTGGCAGTTACTTGTGTTGGGTCTGACAATCCAGCCCAATGCAATGTAGTTATTGTCCCAGTGCTGGAGGCACACTATAAATACCCTCTTTCACTAGAGAATCAGGTATTCTATTCACTACACATTTTCTCTTTTCTGTATTTATTCTCTCTAACTCCGTTACTCACTTTAGCATCGAAGTACCTTACAGGCACATCCCCTCCTCCTCTTCAACACTGGTGAACATAAGAGCTCACGACGTGTGGCAGACTGCTGATCCATTTCTGATCAGGTAAATTCAACTAGTAATATAAATATTAATTAATTTACAAATTAATGACTTTTGCTTATAATAATGACCAAATTTTTTATAGGATGTTACCCTATCAGCTTTATTCGAGTTAGAGCAACTCCAGAAGAGAAGGAAGAGATTAGAATCCAATATTAAATTGAGAGAAATGTTAGCTACCTTTCGTTCATGTAAAAGAGGGTTATAAGAAAATGGAAATTATTCTAACAAATTCTCTAGATTTCCGGATCACAACCCAACTGTTAACATGCTTAATTCATGTGGAAGCTTCTATTAAATAATTAAAAAGAAAAGGGAAAGTGACGGCAACACCATATAAATTTCCCTTTAGGCAAAGTCTTGGATCCAAATGAGTGGCTTTCTAGCCCTTTGACTCTTTCTCAATATTTGGCTCCCGTCCTCATTAGGCCCAATAGCAGAATTTTAGTTTGAAGGGTGCTCTGAACCCATATCAGTTTAAGGTCATTTTTTTACTTATAATTGTGACCGATGGTGTAGTGCTTTCATGTATTCTGAATTCCATTCATTTTTCTGTTTTTTTTTTAAGATTCTATAAATTTATTTTAGAAATTTTTCTAAAGATACATTTTAAAAATAAATTTATTTATTTAATTATGACTCAAGCACAAATAAAATATATGTATTAAAATAGATGCATTTCTAAAATCTAAATGCATTTTTAAAAATTAACATGATGTAATAAAACATCTAAACTGCTTTAAGAAATTCTCAAAATATATAAATCAGTGCCAAAGAAAAGATATATTCTCGAAGAAAAGATGCAAAGTAGTACGAGGACGAATAAACCACTATCGATACATGTAGAATTTCTATAAGTTTCCCATTTCTTATTTAGAACAATTTTTAAATATTGATTTATTGTAGATTTAAACTTATTTTTACTGCATAGAGTCAACCTTAATAACAAATAATATTCAAAGTAAAGGGCTTCTTCGGCAAACCACTTAATAAATAATATATATTAATACTGCTGGGGATAATGTTTGAGATTGAATAAAATTATAAAAGAATTAGCAAATTTCTCACAGGAAAAACACTTCTGAAGCTTCTGCTCTTTAGATTAGCTAATTATTATAAATTTTCATTAAAAAAAGCTTAAAAAAACATAAGTGCAATATTTAAGGTTGGTTCTCCAACAAAGAAAATGTAAATACGCAACAATATGTTAGAAAGATGTGTAACAATGAAACTAGGCAGCAATATGTTCAATACGAAATAATCAAAATTTTGATGAAACGTGTGCTAGAGAAGTGCATTTCCACAAAATATTAAGTATTGAACCAAAAGGAGGTCTCAAACTGTAACTTGGACTATAACAACCAAAGGAAATTGAAGTTCGGATAACTATAATCACAAAATAGACAGACCCTAAATTCTGAAAACATAAATGTCACTTTTGATTAAAAATCATCCAAATCACAGGGGAACAAACACAAGTACTCCAGAAAGTTATCGTCATCATTTCGCCGCCACCAGAACCATATACTCCAGATAGTTATCATCATCATCATTTAGCCGCCACCAGAACCATATTTCTTTCCAAACAAAACCAGCTGCAGCTTGTCATAACCAGCAAGCACACCAGCACCTGCAACAGCACGTAATATGTTTGCACCGGCACCTTTGAAAAGAGATTTAGTACCCTCTTTTGCAACAATGGTTTGGAATGCATGCAAAGAGCTCCTATACTTCACAGCTTCTCCAGAGGTCATCATCATCCTTCTACGCACGGTGTCAATGGGATAAGAAGCTAGACCAGCACCAATTGTGATTGCCCATCCCAAAAAGAAACTAGCAAAGAAACTATCCTGTTAACAAAATGAGTACCATAAGTAAGAAATTATAAACACGAATTACAATAATGTGAGAGGGGCAAAAATACACCAAAATTATAGAAGAGTAAATTTCCCAAGTTCAATTTAAGTTTAAGGTTTAGTCGTCATGGTGTCTAGGATACAAAGTTGTTTAATAAAAGCAAGTGATTGAATCCTAACATGCCAGATAAAAGCAAAATCACATAACAAATTATTTAGATTCAAAAAAATAATGGCTGCAACCATAAATTCAAAGTAAAACCTGCTAAGATGTGTAGTGTTAATCTAACACAACACAAATTAAGAAAGAACATATTTCACATTCAGATTTTGTGCATACCTGCATGTCACCAACCAAAACAACTGGTTTCAGAGAATCATACATTCCAAAGTAAAGACCACGATACACTATAATTCCAACACATGAGATGTTGAATCCACGATAAAGGCCGGCAATGCCATCAGACTTTAGAGTTTTAGCGTAAACATCAAACATTCCATTGAATTGCCTCCCACCACCCTTCTTAGCAGCCTTTGCATCATTTGCCAATCGGGTACGGGCATAATCCAAAGAATAGACAAATGCGAGTGAGGAAGCCCCAGCAGCCCCACCAGATGCTAAATTCCCAGCAAACCACTTCCAGTAGCCATCTCTGTCTTTTTTAAAATTGAAAAGCCTCTTGAAGTAATCCTTAAAAGCAAAGTTCAGAGCCTAAATGGAAAAGGAGGAAATTAGAAATGAAAGAAACAGCACATAGAAACTATAGAACCAACAGTCAAATAGCAGAAATACATTCACATGCATTACAATCAGATAAAAATATGAACAGAGAATGACTCTTTTGTCTGGGAATGTACATCTCAAAAGCAAGAATGTTTGGACACTCTTTGAAGATCAAGAGGAAAGTTTCATGACCCTGGAATAGTAGTGACACTGAGTTTGAGTTAGAAGTTCATAGAAAAGTGGAAATCAAAGGAATACTCAACCATGGCTAAAAAAATTACGTTTAAACAATAAAATCAGCAGTTATGTGACTACATAATTGTTATATTTTAACAATGTCTACACCCCAAGGAACAACCCTTACCACACATAACTTATACAAGCTGTTAGAATGGTTACAATATAGGAAATATCTTATAATAGGTGCAAGAGATAATGAAGGCATTCATATGTCACCTGAGTAGGGAAGTATCTGATAACATTAGCAGTATTTCCTCTCCACAGAGCAATGACACCCTCATCCTTCATGGTTCGGGCAAAACAATCACCAATTCCCTTATATGGCTCAGACAACCTACCACTCTTGAGCATTTCATCCTGGTTTTGAATAAGCAATTTAACCCGTTCAATAGGAGCAGCAGCTGTCTTTGAGACAGCAGCAGACACTCCTCCCATCAGAAAATCAACTAGAAACGCAGACGGCCCTTTCTCTGCCGGAGAAGGCACAGTAAACATCGACAAAGGTGACGCAATCGCCAAACCAGAAGCATGCACTCCTCCATCGGTAAAACCACCAGATGTAGAATAATTCCTGTAGCTAGGGTTAGAGCTTAGCCTGGACACCAAATAAGAATGTCCACCTAACTTCTGAGCAACTGATGGATATTGTGGTCCATCAGCCATGATTGCAGCCTTGAAAATGACCTTCGAAATTCAAACCATAACAAACATCAATTCAAAATTCCATAGCCAAAATCCTTGCAAAATGCATTAATAAAATCTTCACAACTTGTATCAAATTGAAATACACATCAAGAAAACAAGTTCAAAACATGCATAAATCACACACCACTTCTTAACAAAGGTAATTAACAAAAACAAAAACCCTAAGTTCAATCATAGCAAAATTCAAGTATCTAACTAATCATGAATCAACTACTACTAGTTTACTACAGTATAATCAAGAATAGTTTATCTCACTATCAAATAACACAATATTCTAGTTCCTAATTTTGCACTTAGTACTAAACTTAACCACCGCTACAAAATCAAGTAAATAGCATACAAATAACACGATCGTGGCGAAAATCATATTCAACTAAAAAATCACTGTGGAACTAAACAATCATAAAAAGAGCGCATAAATATGAAAAGCAAGGGAAACATGTAGTGAATTTGGAAAGAAAGAGTGAAGAGCAGAGAATGGTGATACCTACCAAAAGAGAGAGAGCTTCGTTCAGATCGCGAGCTATGGAGAAAACAGAGAGACTGAAATTGAATATAAACGAGAGCACCGAAATGGAGAGACTAGGGTTTTATTGTAATGACGTATTTGCCCTTTGTTATTTTTTTTCTTACTAAATTTTTCATTTTTTTCGGTTGAATAACTGAGTGAGGGGTGTTTGCGCATGACAAAAAGAAAGATATTCTATTTTCATTTTTTTAATTATTATTAAATAAAGCAGACTTAATTGTATTTTTAACTCCCTTAATTTCACAACTGAACAACTTTTTATCCTTCTGTTTTTATCTTTTTTAGCTATTTTAACGCTTTGCATTTACTATACTTTCTCTCTAATTATTTTATAATTTTTATAGTTAATATAGATCATGATCATTGTCTTTTTTTATTAAAAAAATTATATTTTCTTATATTCATTTTTTTTTTCTTTTCAATTTTGTTATGTATTCTAGCATATTTTCTTTTATATTAAATCGTAAACCATATCATTTTATTTATTTTTATTTATTCATTTTATTAAATATTTTGAACCATTAATATTTAGTAATAAGTTATTTTATATATTTGTTTTGTTATATGATTCATCACAATTTAAACGATATTATTGACATATAGTTTAATTTATATTGGAAAGTTATAAGTCGAATCGATTGTACTCAATTTTTTTAATTTTATGTGACAAATAAATATTTTTTTAATCACTCAATATTAGAAATTTTATTACCAACAAAAATACGCACGAATTTTTCACATTTTAATATCATATGACTTATATAAGATCATAAGGATAAAAATATAAATTATTAATAAAAATTTTTCCCTCCCCTTCTGAACCAAACGCATTTTTAATTAAAATCTCTCCCCTCCCCTCCCCTCCTCTCTTTTGAACCAAACACTTATTTAATTAAAAAATTCCTTCACCTCCCCTCCCCTCCATTAAAATCTCTCTCCTCCCCTCCCCTCCCCTCTCCCTCATTTGAACCAAACAGACCCTTAAACTTATGTGACAATTCTAATAATGTGGCATTTTAATATTCTAATAATGTGGCATTTTAATGTATTCACATTAATGAATTTTAGCAATTAGAACCTACCATCAAAATATAACTAAAATATTAAATCAAATTTGAAATATTAAACAACACGTAAAAGAGGTTGAAAAATTCACTATGATTTTGTTCATCGTCATTCTCATTCTCCTTTACATCTCTCTTACATACACAAAGATAGTTTAGAACCACACCGCCATGACATTTGTTCCACGTCAGCAACAACTCATAAAAGAACTGCCTAATTTACCTAGGTGAATAAAAACTCAAAATAAAAAGGGAGAAAAAAAGAAATATATTAGGTTTAATACAATTTGTTTAGAGAAATTAATTGAAAGAAGTAAATTGATTAAACAAATAAATTTGAAATTTGAAAAGTAAAAATAAATTGTGGTCTATTATATGTATTTGTTGAGCCGATGACACGCCGAAATATTGTCGCTTCATCTTTTAGTTGGTGAGATTATTATCACACTTGATGATGTATCTTACCTCCTCCATCTTTCGATTATAGGAAAATTATTGGATCACTTCAAAATTACTAGACACGGGGCCCTCAACCTTATGGTGACATAATTAGGGGTTGATTTGGATAAAGCTCAAAAGTAAATAGAATACACTATGGGATGTCGTGCTAGATTGTATTCATATTAGAAATTATATTAATCACCTTAATGTGGTTGTGGATGTTGTGGGTGATGATGTACATATTGCCTATAATAGAGTATGTGCGTCAAGGTCGTTTGTTGGGTTCGAATCAATCGACATCTCTCGTGGAGATAGCACTTGACTTAGTTAATCGGTTCAACGAAGTTCCCTAAACTCTGAGCTCTTCGCATACAACCCGAAACGAGAAAAATTAAGAAAATCATAATAAAAACAGAAAATTGTCCTAATCTAAACGGTGAAACAACATATTACGATATTAGAAGAAATAGGTCCCCAACAACAACATCAAAAACTTGATAAGCCGCAAGTATACAGTTATATCGAGTAGTATAAAAAGTATTGAGTCCACAAAGACCAAGCGATCAAGTACCATTTTCTATCGTTTCGGTGTGTATCTAAGGCTTCATGTAAAACAAGTTCGGTTGCACGAAAATACAAAATATTTAACTTCTTTAATATTAAAACAAGAGTTCAAGACTAGGATTCTTGTCTCGTGACTTTACTCATACAAATCACCATATTAATCATAACAAGAATTCTGAATTTTGTAGAAATTACCAAAACCAGTAGTAACGCCCACTTTTGTCGGCGTGTCACCGAACCTTAAAACTCGTAAAATATTTGCTTTCGCATCACGAAATTTAAGTTCAAAAATATTTTACAAAGAAAAAGTATTATCTCGATCAATTCTGACCCGCTTTCACAAGTATCATAACCTATCGTTTGAGTTTCTAAGTCTGATGTCATTTTCTCCATTTCGACGCGTAAATGATATCTTTGTGCTTCTACTTCCGTAGAAAACGTATTTCTTTTCAAAAACATAAATCAAAAACAATTATATCATTCTCGTTACAATTATTATTCAAGAAATTTGCACGAGGTCCATCATTATGACAATCCTCATGTCTCAGACTCTACGCGTAATCTACTCAGACATATTTAATAGTAAAATAGCATGAACATTCATAACATTTATAATAAAAACAATAAAACAAAACCTAGAATAAAGTAATTGATTTTGAAATTAATAATGCTTTGAAAGGAGACTTTTGATCCAAGAGTACAACAACAAATAGCAAAACGCAGCAGGAGAAAAATACTTGAAACTTACATAAAACTTAAAACAAAATTTTTAGGGTAATTTAGTGCCAAACTAAAGCTTGGATCCTCTCCAATCTATTACAATTTCGTTTTAATATCTCCAAAGACACTAACATAGCAACGAATATCTCAAGAACTCGTGTAGAAGCTAAGAAAACTGCCTAGGAAACTGACTGAAATATGTTGGAACTGCCTGAACGTGGGGCTTTTTGGGCTTCATGACGGGCGTCATCCCTGATGGAGGCCCATCTATCATAATGTAAAGATCCATATTTTACATCCATGATGGGTGTCAAGTGAGATGACAACCTTCTCGTCATGGCTTCATGAGCGCTGACTTCTCTTTGCTTTTTGGACCATGATGGGTGTCATGCGTGATGAAGGTCTGCCTGTCATGGAAGCTAATTTCTTCTTTTGTTTGATTCTCCATCGCCTTTTTCACCAATGGTTCGTGCCGAGTGAATCTTACCTGAAACAAACAGAAAGTATCTAATGCATACAGTAAAATGAGAATAAAATGCATAGAAAACATATAAAAAAAGCCAAATAAAATGTTAAAAATACTTGTGATCACGGTATCTCCTTCATTTGGATGGGGCATTAGTGTATCCAACCATATCATCTTCTGGTAGAGTACTACTAGATGGTCGGCTTTGTCAAGGACATGGCTTAAGAACGACCGTTGTAATCTTAGGGTCACAAAATTATCTTTGTCGAACATTCCATCATGACGCCTTCTGACCACCAAGACAACAAAATTCTTGCTCCCCTCTTACTTTGGTATATATATCCATGATGGCCAATTGATACATGACTGTCGATTTTCTTATTGGTGGTCAGAGATTGCAATCAGATTCCTATGCGTTCAAGAGCATGGTTGCACGAAAGTGATATTCTTTGAGAGGCCCGTCACCCCGGCCTTCACGAAAGAAGCTTGACCCGATCTTTTCCTCTAATAACCTCTCTAAGGAACGGAGATGTCGGGCAAGGGACCAGAGATGACTATCGACCAAAAATTTCTTTGGAGGATACTTGGTTTTCTTGCCATCAAAGTTAGGGGTTCCCCCCCCCCCCTAGCATATTCAGTAAGTCTCAGTTATTTTTCTAATCCGACCATGGAGATTTGGTAGTTTGGTTATGTCGAACAGCGCACTGGCGATCACAGAACTTTGATTATGAGTTATCATGTACGAACTTTGGCCTCAATGGAAACTGTTGCACTTACTGGGCGGTCTGTGGCTGTAGTTTGTTTAATGTCCTCGCTCTTCGACCGTATTTATGCCTTAACGTCTTTATTTCTTAACGCAATGCTTTAGAGTAATATGGAAAAAGAATTTTACCAAAAGATAGCCAATGGAATCAAATTATTTTTTCACTTAAGTGATAAGGGAAAGGTGTAGCATAGTCAACATGCTCAAACGCACATAATTTCCTGATGGAAGCTTGTTTCACTTTACCATAATTATGTAGTTTGAATTGCAATACAAGCTTCGTCACAATCCATTGGATCTGGCCTGAAGAGATTTTCGTTCATCTATTAGAGATCCTTTAGTATTTATATAAGATGTTTTAGTACCGGATCTACGTCAACATTAACTATGAACTCGTCGTATCTTCGACGT